ATAAATCTTCCTGGGAATGAATGTAAGAGCAAAAAGTACTGCTAATGAAATAATGATGAAATAATTAATTTAGATTAAATAATACTCTTCAGCACTCCAACAGGTACTAATTTTCTCCTTGCTTGGCCTTATTCCTACAGGAAAGGGAGAAGAAAAAGCCTCTCAGGCATCTCTGCTCTGGATGATGCCTTAAAAATCCCAAGGCCCAACTCACCCTCTCCCACGGACCTTGGGGAATGTCCTGCCAGCAGCCTGTGTGGAGCACAGGAATACATGGAGGCTCCACTCCTTGGCTGAACCTTCCCAGCTGCTCTTCACTGACACAGAACATTCCTGTGAATGTCTCTTCACTGCGTGGATTTGGTGTGGATTTACTTTACCTCTCCTTTCCCAGGTAAACAAAAAAAGAGCACATCCATTTACCTGCTGGCCGTCCATTGTCTAAAATCAAACAGGTATGGCACTGTTTGATGAACAAACCCAGTTCACCCACCTGGAAAGACTTTTCCCTCCAACATATTGTGTCCACACAGCCATGCCTTGACTGCCAACAACAATGGCATTAGCCAAGAGCTTCCTTGTATTTTTTGGCGTTGCCTGCAGGAAGCACGTCCTGGTTCACAGCTCCAGCAGTTCCAAAGGTGAGAGCCCTCTGGATATTCCACCAAGATGAGGATTAAAACGTTTCCTTAAGCGGTCTCTGCCCCAAAACCACAGGAGAAATAACCTGGGAGGGCTGAATTCAGCCTCATGTTGAATAAATGTCCTCCCCACACCAGTGCAAGTCACGGTTAATACATTCTGTGGTATCTCACTGGGATCCCTCTGAGTTTTCAACAGCACAGAGTCAAGTACAGGCTTCAAAGTTGTCCTCCAAAGTCACCATGAGTTGTGGAAACAGCTCACACAGTTGGTATCTCCCCATCTCCCCTGCCCTGACTTAAATCAGATGGGCAAAACCTGACTGGTTCAGCTCACCACCAGCTTTCCAGCTGGGGCAGGAACAGTGAGTGGACTCAGAAAGGCAAAGGCAGGTCCCTATTTGAAGAAATAGGGACTCTCATTCCTCTGCCTCTCTGGTTTTTCTGCTGTGACTCCAAGGCTCTTATCTGACGAGCAGCAGCTCTGGCAGCAGCAGATGCTGAAGGCTGCAGGGTGTTACGGGGTCACATCCAGCTTCCAGCTGCTAAAAAAACTTCTTGTGACCTCTTAGTACCTATTTCAGGTCTCTGAGATTAAAAGGCAAGAGCTTGCTAGGAAAAAAAAAAATGAATAAACAGCCCAGCCCAGAAGCCACCCTATATCAATCCTTAAAGGGCAGAGCAGCAGGATGCTCTGGCACTTGATAACGTTACCTCTGTCACACAGCAACACTTTCTGCTGACTCAGGATCAGCCTTGACATGCTCAGAACCATCTACTTTTCAATTCTCCTCTTTTGCTTTCCTTTTCTCTCCCTGTGTGTATCTTTCCAAAGCCCAGGTATTTCTCACCTGCTTTTTCCACTCAGCCTGATTTGTTTCATGGTTTTTTGGTTTTTTTTTTGTTCTTGCCTAACCTGCCTTGTTCCTCCTTAAATACAGTTATTTGAGAGGTGTGCACTGCACCACACCAGCCAAACCTGCACGTCCAACACTCCAGTTTAAGCAGTTCAGCACTGCTGCTTAAACCCAGTTCTGCCTGAGCAAGTGTTTATGCCTAAATTACATCAACGTGGAAAGGCCCAAAAAGAATGTTCTAGTCAGATTTAAACAAGCAGTCACACATGGATCTCAAGACTCTTGACCAAATGTCTGCCTGTCTAAAATGCATCCTAATACATTTATGTCCCTCCAGAAGGGCTGGGTACACATCACTGTAATCTCTTGTTTAAATTCTAGTTGTTAAATGCATTTTATTTGCTCTGGGCAAATGATGCCTTTGTTTCCCTTCCAGCTCCTTGTGCAGCCTTCACGTGGCAGATACCTGGATAAAACTATCCCCTGGAGGGCCCAGGAAGCTTGAAATGTACCCTTGAGGAGCTTTTTGGTCATGTGGCAGTGCAGAGACTCCCTTGTAAAACAGAGACACTGTTTTACACCTGCACCAGTGCAGGACTTTAGAGGCAGAAAGGTTCCCTTGGATATTTTGTCAGAGCCTCCTCACTGTGCAGCCAAAAAAAGCCAAAGCATGTGCTGAACACCTTGATGCCTCCTCAGCTCTCTGCTCTGCTCCTTGCCTTTGCAATGCAGCTCTAACCAAATTACACACCATCTCCTTTCCTACATGGGCAGCACAAACACCCCTTGACTTCCTTGGAAACGGGGATGGCTTTAATTGCTCCGGCAGTGCCTTGAAATTCTCAGGTGGGCAAAGCATTTATTCCACCCTGAGCTGCACCAGGACGTGGGATTAACACACATGGCCTTTTATCTGCTCCTCACTCACCTCCCTGCAGCTCCCTCAAGACATCAAGTAGCAACAAATAGCAAGAAAATCCTTTTCCTCCTCAGAATTCCTTTTTATTCCACGGTTTATTTCCATGAGGTGCCTCCCCCTCAGCAAGGTAATCCCTCTGCTGTGGCAGAGACCAGGTTTTAACCTCGTGTTTACTGCTTTAAAATTGGACAGGCTCGTCTTGAAATAAAAGAAGGGCATCATTCACTGACCAAATTCACCATATTTCAGCAAATTATTCCAGGAACAGTATGTCCATACCTTGGACAGGAAATTTTGAAGAAAAATGAGCTGTAAACATCAACTCAAACCTGTATTAACTTCAAAGCTTAAAAGGGAAGGGAGCAAAGCACCTGGCAAGACACAGAGAGATCCCAATCTCCCCTTTCAGGACAATTCCCCTATCCTGAGCCTTTGCTTCTTTGTGTAGAGAATGATTTGTCCCCAGTTAAATGTCCTTTTATCCAGGGGCAATGCATACAGCAACTCTAAGGTGGCTAAATCCAATGAATCCAGGTATCCTCTGACAACTTGAAAGGAAGATCAAAGACAAACTCAGGACAAAGAGGCAGGTGAATTAAGGTGGCAGCTCTCAGCCCTGCTGGATTTAAGGCACCGTGGTGGCTGCTCTGCACTCCTGCAGGGCTGGTGCATTGGAACGATTCCCTGGCACGGGTTTGGGATGACCCACGAGCCACGCAGGTCACTGAGAACAAAGGTCAGCTAAACCTTTTTGCCCTCCCATGATGGATTTTAGATGGATTTGAGATGTTTCACAGGGCCGTGTGGCAATTTAGGTCACTTAAATACATAAAACCTCTTTCCGTGCTGACACATAAACACAAATTACTTCTTTTGTCACGCAGCATGACATGGGTTGTTTTTCTCCTGAACTAGTTTTTGATAGCTGGACTAACCATTCAATCTGCAAAACCACAAAACTTCTCTTCCCAAGAGGAATTACTGATGTTTCTTGCAGGAGAGAGCTGAACTGCAAGGGAACCAACAGTTCAGTTGAGGAAGCCCAAGAAGTGTACTTGACATAAAAATCAGACCATTATTTTATTCTGTGCTCTGCAAATTCATTTTTTTTTGTTTTTTAAATTTTTTTTTAAAGATAGAGATTCTAATTTCCAAAGGTGTTGGCACCCTCAGTTGCCATTGTGCAGAATCATTGCTCACATGGCCATTAATTAAGGCTGTTGTCAGCACTTCCATTCCAAACCTGCCTTTTAGGAGTTTATAACTCAGCCATAAAACCCGGCTCTGGGCTGAAATGCATCATGAAAGGGTCTGCCTGGAAGGAATCCATCCTTTTGTATTTGAGAGTCCCAAAAGCTCATAGCAGCAAACCAAGGATTTTATTCCAAAGGCTGCCACTCCCAAACCTGGGCTGCTTTTCATGAGTGCTGGGTGAGCTGGGCCTGCTGGACTGGCTCTGGGAGCTCCCTGGCAGGGTGGGCTTTGCACTCTTAACGTTGTAAATTTGAGGAATTATGAGGGTTTATGCTTCAGGGCCAAAGCCTGTGCTTAGTTTAATACCAGTGAGCACCTCTGCCCCCACTGTTCCCTGCTGGAGTATGATCCATATGGATTTCCCACCCTTCTCCCCCCACAACCTTCACTGGGCCTAATTCATACTCCAGTGCTCAGCTAAAGAGATGGAACTTGTCTCTCCAGGAGCACAGGTTAGGCTGCAAATGGTCCTCTAGTCCACTAGCAGTTGTAGTAGTAGTATTTTCCTACCTTTTCTCAGTCTCTTACTGAACAGGAAGTTTGCACAAGAGCATCCAAAACTACTTTTAGCAGAACAAAAAGTTATTAGTGGATTGCTCTTTGCAGTCCAGTGGAGCAGCTTCTGATTTCTTCAGTACCCACATGTGTCTGAAGCACACACAGAACCAGACCCTGGACTGTCCTGCACCCTCCACCTCCTTCAGTTCCCTGCTCCCCAAGAAGTTTCACGGCTCTACAGGTTAATTTTTCTTGTTCTAGAAAACAGGCAGTGCCTGCCAGGCTCAGCTGCTGCGCTCTGATCTGGCAATCCAGCGTAAAAGAGACATTTCAAAATTCCAGCTTGCTTTTTTTTCCCAGTGCAAAATTTCTGCAGCTGTATTTTTAAAGGATTAGAAAAGTTTAGGACTGCTGGCAACACGTAAAGATAATGCACCGTGCTCAGGACATCAGCTGACCCAGAGGTCACAAAGGAATATTCATGTTTGCAACTGGTTACCTTCCATTTATGAATTTCCACCTTCTCAGGACCAGAGTAAACATATCAAAACTAATAATGGGGTTCCTTTACAAGTCCAATCAGTCCTCTCTTCCAACACAAAAGAGACTGTTTCCCCCCACAACTTTCCCCAAAATAAAAACAAAAGAGAGGGGAGGTGGTAAGGGGAGAATGAGGAACAAAGGGAGGAAGAAAAAAAAACAAACCCACAGCACTGACAGAAATGTTCATTCACATCTCCCAGCATCCATATGCCAGTAACCATATCATATCACATAACCATATAACCATATCATAACTCAATAACCATATCATATGCCCCAAAATGGTACCTGCAAGAGGTCTCTCGGAAGGAGATGTTTAAATCCCAGTGGGTGTGTATCCTGTCAACAAACAAACAAACAAACAGAGAGGTCAGTGGCACGGGCTCAATGCTGCATCTCTTGCTACTTAAAAAGATCTGCTCCACCCCGACAACCCACCTATGGCCCCCCAAACCCAACCCCATGAGGAGCCCACAGCTGGCAGCACCCCCGGGTGAGCTGTGCAGCACCCACAGACCTTCCCCTTGCTGCATGCAAGAGGTGCAGGGACTGCAGGATGTCATCTCGACTCCCAGGCCACATTCAGAGGAAGCAGAACGAGCTCAGCGTTGACATTTTACGAAGGAAACCCAAATCTGTCTGTGCTGTGTCCCCTCCTCCGCACCCGCCCCGGCTGTAAATAAATTATTAGCAATTTCCCACCTCGGAAATTAATTCCACGTACTCTGTCACTCTGCCTGCTGACAAGCAGCAATAGCAGATTCCAGATGAACAGAGCAGCCAAGGGGCTTGGTTTTTTGATGGATTTTTTCTTTTTTTCCCTTTGCTACTAAGACAGCATCCACCCCAACCCAGAGGGAAAAGGCCGACGCTTGACCTTCTGTGGTCTGGGGTTCTCCTCTCAAAAGCAGGGAGCACTGATCTCCCCTGGCTCAGGGGATGGTCTGTGACCACCACTGTGTCTCCACGTCACGGTGATTGATGACAACCCCAGCCATCTGAGACCAGCCTGGCAAGCTGGAGTCCATATCCTCGCCCAAACCCCGCTCCCACGGCTCCCAGAGCCTGCCAGGGAACGTGCTGGGTCCTGGTTGGGCAGATAAATCACCTCCTGCAGATGCAGGTTCCCAAAGGGCCGCAGATATTCACGAGTAGCAGAAACCAAAGGCACTTTCTGCACATTTTGTGTAGCCCTGCAGCAACTCCTGCCTCTGCCCCCAGCAGAAAAAGCAGCGGTGCGTGGCTGTGGAGCATCTGGCTGCAGGAGGAGCCTCACCTAAAACCTGCTGGAGTAAGAGAGAGCCCTTCCCCCGGTCTGAATGGGCTGTGAATTGGGCCAGAAAACACTTCACCATGACCAGAGAAGTCGATGGGGCTTCACTCAGGTTTGAGTGTCTGTTTAAGTGCTTTCCCGCTCCAGCCTAGTCCTGAAATTACCTGAGAACAACTCTTAGCACGGAAATAATTTCACATCCAAGACATGCTGGCTGCTGCCAGTTTTACTAATGTGATGGCAGAGCTTTTGTGCTCTTCCTGCAGGTCTGACTCAGAAAGGAGTCTGGTTATTCTTTTAGGGGTGAATAGTTCTTTTTCTAGATATTAACGTCCACCAATAAAAGCCATTCTCAGAACTCCACTTAGCAGTGCCACGTGAGCCTAGTTTTTCCTATTCTTCTTCCTCAGATCTACCAGTCTAGGAAATCTATCCCAGATTTCCACCTTCCCAGCATTTCATTTGCGAACAGAAATGGAGCAGGCTCTTCCCAGCTCCTGAGCTTAAAGCAGGAACAGTTGCTCTTCCAAGTTAAAATTCAGAAAATGTTTGAAAACTTTCTGGAAAGGAAAGGTCAAAGTGGGACATTGAGTAAAACTTCCATGAACTGAAATCTGGTCAGACTCTGGGACGTATTTGGACTCTCCAGGTAAGCTGATCTGAATCCCAGGAACAAAGCAAATTCAAACCAGGCAAGAAAGGCCTAGAAGGGTCTGTCCTGCTCACAGGAGAGTGGAGCTGGTGATAAGCCTAATTTTGCACTGCTCCCTGGAATAGAAGATCTCCTACACACACAAAACCTTCCTAAACCCCCCTTTAATTCCAGCTCAGCACCTTGCACTGAGCAAATCAGACCCTGGCAGCTGCTCCCTGGAAGTTGAGAGAGCCCCAAGCCCAGTGGGACCAGCTGGAAATCAGACTGCAAGGCTGAAAGAGAACCTTGTGCTCCTCCTGCTTCTCTGTCCATAAAACATCCTTCGGCACCCTCAAAAATAAATATATATATATATATAAAAAATATATATATACCTAAAAAATATATATATCTAAAATATATATACCTAATATATATATACACCTTAAATATATATATACATAAAATATATATCTAAAAAATATATATACTTAATATATATAAAAATATATAAATATACATACACACCTAATATATAAAACTATATAAATATATATATTTTATATATATATATAATACAACTATACTATAACTCATCTAAAAGCTCCCATCCACACTGGGAACTGTGACCACTTCCAGCTCCCTGACCACATCCTGGGACTGCACAACCTGTGCCATACTGGGAGGGTCCACATCCCACCCCAGTGCCAAGGAAGCAGGTACCTCCCAGCCATGGCACTGCCAAAGGGGGCACAAGGCTGGAGGGTGAAATGATCTCAGCCTTCCATAAAACGTAACTTCCCGTGGTCTGTGCAGCTCCTGCAGTGATCCCAAGGCTCAGGGGAAGGCCTTGTCTCATGGTGAGACTCAGCTCAGCTCGACTTCAAAGCCCAAGAGCACTTTGTGAGAGAAGGAGGAGGGAAAAGCTCATCCCAAAGGAACGGCTCGGGATCCACAGCGAGGCCGAAACATCCGTCTGCCGAGATGGATAATTAAACACTCACATTTAGACAAATGAATAGGTGAGAATGAAATTAAATTCTCATTATCTTTTTTGGGGGGGAGGGGGGAAGGAGGGAGGGACAGGGAGCAGAACCGACACTCGTTCCACTGAGCTGGGCCGTTATCACCAATTAGATTTCTGAGCCTAATGTACATCTTGTTTGAACAGGTTATTCATCCAATTGAAATCAAATTACTAATAATTTGCAAAGTATCGCCTACACAGGCCTATCCTTGGGTTGTATGAAGAGTGGTGAGCAGGAGCCAGTCCCTTACAAATTAATAGCAGAAAAGGAGGAGGGGAGGAAATAAAATCCACAGTCAGGCAAGTGAAGGTGCTGCAGGTGCTGCTTCTCTCCCAACTCCTCACCCACCTGAGGGCTTGGACATGGTGTGGTCAGTTAATTGTTCCATAAAAATGACCAAATGGGTCCCACAGAACCAGCTCCCTGCAGAGCCTGGTCAGCAGGGAGGGGGGCCCAAGGGGTAATTCACTACCTGCTGCTTCAGGAGGGGCTGGAATGTCAGGGTTTGGCTTGAGCAAAGAATTAAACACAAAAAATACTAACAGGAAGGTCTGAGGCTATTCAAGGCATCTCTGGAGCCTCGACTGCAATGAGAATCCAGCCCAGAAAAGCAAGTGGCAGAGCTGGCAAAATAATGGAGAGCAGCTGGGATAGTTTTTAATTTTTAAGTTGTTTCCTTCCCTGTCATTTCTCTCTTACTCCAGCGGTCCCTGCAACATTTCAACCCCGGGGAAGGGGCCAGGAGTGAGTCAGGTGTCTCCCTGACATCCTGTCACCCTCATTCCCAGCTGAGCTCCTGCACTATGGCCAACCTGCTCCCTGTGCTGTCCCAGGTACACACTGCAGGAATCCAGGGACCCAGACACATCCTATGGAGCATGGGGAACACTGGGCAGCACCCAGCTACAGGAACAGGTCATTACTGCCAGAAAAACCCATTACAGCATCAGCTCTTACCCACAACTGTCCCTTCCTACTCCCCCTTAATTATAAGGCCAACACTTCCTTTGGATGGAGTTTGTCCGAACCTCTCAATTTTCTAGGCCACAGAGAAGAGAAAAATATTGACAAGGTTTTTCCACATCCTCTGGTTTAGAAGTCTGACCTGAAGGGACAGCGCTGGTAAAAGGGAGAATGAGGGAATTTCTGCACAATGGGCACAGCCCAACACCACCAGGATCGCTGGGAATTCAACATGCCCTGGGTGCCACCACCGTGCACGGAAACACGGAATTCACAGTGCTGCAGGGAAGCAGCTTGGGGAGATGGACCTGCAGGTGCCATTCTCCTGGATGCTGGGTCAGATGGACAGAGCTGGCCCCTCTCTCCTCCCTGCTCTTCACAATTATCACTGTCTCAGCTTCCAGAGTCTCCCTCTATCCATGTCAGGCTATTTTCAGGCAGCCACCACCATTAAGAAGCTCGTGCAGGCAATGAGCAGGAGTTCAGGAAACCTCACCCATGGCTGGAAGAATGGCCCTATTACAGCAAGAACTTGGACTTGGGGCATCTGGGTTATTCTCCACCATGGAACTGATGTCAGATACAGGGAGACATGGAGAGCAGCCAAGAGCACTTGTGGGTCAAGGTTTCATTTCCTTTCACTCTTACACTTCACCTTTCTTGCAGGTCTTTTACCTCCCTCCTAAGACAGGAGGGATTTCTTGCTGTTTATTATATTTTATCCTGAAGCATCCCTGAGAAGTGAGTAGCCATTTTCTCTCTCTCTTCCCCCTCAAATCCATGTCCTCATTAGGTCAGTGACACGCTTCCTGGCACTCTGGACCAAGTCCAGCCTTTGCTTCCCAGAGGGATCTTTAATATATTTATTGAATACGGTGACTGTTGTTAAGTGGTGCATGGTTCAGAGGGGAAGAGGGAAGGGAAGGAGGGAGGAAAGAGAAAGGAGAAGAGAAAATAAAGAGCTGCAGAGGGAGGAAGAGGGGACTGATAGAATAAAACCAGTGAGAGCTGTGAAGAAGTATCATAAAGCAGCAAAATGTGTCTCCAGCCACAAGAGGGGCCCTGCCTCCCTCTTCTCGAGTCCTGGCAATTAGGAGAAGGGCTGTCGAGTCTGATCTGAGAGCCTGAGTCCCGCTGGAGCCCAGAGCCCTGCTCTGTCACGTCTCTCTCCAGTTGTGCAGTGCCTGGCAGAGCCCTGTCAGCTCAGCCCAGGCGAGGAGCAGCGTGGTGTGGCACATCCTGCCACGAGACTGAGCTCCAAAGGGAGCAGGGATGTCACACAGCTCTCATCCCGAGGCTGCTGGGGAGCATCTTGGGAAGAGGCCAAGCGAGAGAAGGCAGGCAGCCCTGTGCACATCAGCTGGGAAGGCACTGGGACCTCGTGGCTCTGAATCACAAGCAGGTGCATGAGACAAACATAATGGGGGGTGCTCAGGTCTGATCTTCAATCAATTAGGGAGTCAGAGAGCAGCAGCCTTCTGGGAGGTAGGAAATAGCTTTCCACTTAGGAAGGCAGGCAGAGGGAAGGCTGACAGTGCCAGCCATTAAGGCTTCATGGAGGTCAGTAATTTCCCTATTAGAAAATGGGTGCTGAGCGAGGGGAAGGCTGGAAAGCTGTTCAGAGAGGTGAGGGGAGGGCAACTCACCCTGTCTGGGCTCCATCCAACGTTCCTGTGTGGACAGGGGCAAGGAGACAGCGTCCCACCATGCCTTCTGTAAGCACCTTCCCTCCAAATGCTCTTCCCTGGTTTGAAATAACTCTAATCCCACGCCAGGTGTTAGACACTGGGGTCATACTGCTGACACAGCCAGAGAAGGGTGTGGGGGGGAAGTGACCTAAAAACAGGATGAAGGACTTGAAGGGCAGGATGAGGTTCTCCAGAAATCTGCTTCTCGTTGCACAGACACCCTGTTACAGGACAGCTTTTGTTATTTCTCCTCAAAATGGCTTTTATCTCAGTTCATTATTTGGCGAGGAACCCAGCCCGTTGTGTGCTCTCATTGTACAATCTGCTACTACTTTTGCTCCCAATTCTCTCTTTTTTTTTTTTTTTTTTTAGTAAAAGAATTTCAAAGGCAGTTTTGCCACATTTGCACCTCTCCTGCCCATTCCTCAGCCCCGTGTTCGTGTTCACTGATATCCCACAAGGGCTCCTTCAGAGACAGGTCAGGTCAAAAACTTTCACCATTTTAACAGGTGTTTAAGCATTACTGCCTCTTAGTCTTAGCCACACCATCACATTTTGCTGGGGACTTAAACAAAGCTGCTCCTAACCCACCCTGTTAAATCTCAGATGCTCTGATTGCATTTCTCCTCTTCTCTTTCCCTCCCCTCCCACACTAATGAAAGAGGCCAGTCTTTAAAATAGAAATTAAATTCATGCACCCACAAGACAATGCTGGGCTTAAATCCAACAGCATGTGAGGATCTTTACTGTTAAAGCTGAGCCTTATTCTCTGGCTGCACTGGCTTTCATCTCCTTGGTGTTTTTTGGGATAACATAATACCCTTGAAGGCAGTTTTCACCTCAGGGTGGAAAAGCTCCCGAGCTGAGGTAATGCATTTATCAGTGCTGGTTGGAACCTCCCTGTGAGTGTAAGGGAGTTAATGCTCTCCAAACTATTGCAGGGCAATGGAATCTGCAGCCTCCAACTTAGAATCTGGGAATCATTAAGGTTGGAAAAGCCCCTCTGTTATCACCAAGCCCAACCTTTCACCCAGCACTGTGTTCTCCACTAATCCCTGTCCCCAAGTGCCACATCCACACATTTTTTTGAATGCTCCCAGAGAAGGTGGTTCTACAACTTCTCTGCATGTCTTATTTGGTGTCTAGGATAACCCAGAGATGGGGTAAAAAAAGAGAAGACTGGCCTAACTTTCAGTTCAGCTTGCTGGGGAGAGGCAGCTTAGTTAACTGCCTGTGAGAAAGGAAAAAGGCAAAGGGTTTTTTTGCCTCTTTCTACCTGAATTCTGCCCTACATAGTCCTTGTAGCAGTGCAGCTATGTCAGTATTATTTTGGCTAAAATAACTGTACAGGTTGACATTGGTACAGAAATGCCCAATATTGACACCATTCTTTTTCCCCAAAGGAAAAACGATGTTCCCAGCCAGACAAACATCCTTACCAGGAGTCAGGAAAGCTTAACCAAACCATGGGAGTTTAGACAATGCTACTGTTGCATGTAGGCAGTGTTGTAAGAGAGCAAGATCTTCAGGAAGCTGAAATCTGATAGGAAGAAAGAGGATTTTTCCTCTGCAACATTGTCCCAATAACCCTTGGAGCTGAGTGCCTGGAGCCTGTGTCAGCACGGTGACACGGTTTTGGAAGGACGTGGTTGTGAAATCATTTGGCATCCACTGAATGCACTGACTTCAGTGGGAGCTACAGGTCTCTGCTCCTTTCTAGGACTGCAAGAACCTGCCAAGGCAGGTTTCCTCTGCCTCAGATCTCTTCTGAAGGCCACCACCACGGGCAAGATCACAGAGGAAATCAGTGTCAAAGGCGATGGTGCAGGACCGGCCAAGAAACTAAACTTCCAAGTCCTTTTCTAATCCCCAGAGTCTTTTCTTCAGACCTCAGAGTAACAGAAAGCATTCCCTCGTGCCAGCAGGGGAAGGAAAAACAGTCAACACAGGTGAAACTGGGAGCAGGAGAAAGCAGAAAAGGCACCAATGTTGAAAGCAGTGAGGCAGGTGTTTATGATGGCACGGGCACACAGGGGGGGCAGCCAGGGGTGCAAAAGAGGGAAGCACAGGTTTGCTCAGGCCCTGACCTTGTTTTCCTATCACAGTTTAACCTATTTCTTCCTCTCAGTGGGGGACAATAAACCCTCAGCCCAATCCATGCCCATCAGGGAGGACACAACAGGTGAATTAAAGCAGAAAGCAGATGGGGCAGTGTCTCTGCCGGGTCCCAGCTGTCGTGTCTGAGCTGTCTCGCCTTTATGCTGGGCTGTGTCTCCAGAGCCAGCCCCATCCCACCTTCCACCCCACTCCCTGCCTGCTAATGACACTGGGATCACAGCCAGAGCCTGCTCCTTCCAGCAGGGCTGAGCAGGAGTTGGGCCAAGCTTCCCATTCATGGCTCTGGAACAGCTGGAAACGGCCAGTCCTCCCCCTCTTTGGGGCAGGGGGACCCATTTCCAAGGGACAAAATGCTTGGAAGTGCTGGAGGATTGGAGCAGTCGATGTTCCCTGCCTGGGCACCAAGCACTGAATTTCTTTTCTCCTCTTCTTCCTGCACTCATCAGGAATGCTGCCTGCCCTGTTTGCTCCAGCTATTCCAGCTTTCCCCCCCCACACACACACTGCATCAGAGCTCCCAGGAAAACAAAAAGGAGAGCAACTGTACAAAAGCAATTAAGAGCCTAATCTACTTGGTAAGAATCCTGTCCTCCTCTGAGGAAACAAGACAAAGCTTAAACAAGAGACCTTCAGACAAACTGATTGAGAACTACTGGAGAGCACGGCAATACCAGGCTGGGGGACCACTGCCTAATAACCACTAAGTATTTTTCCTTCATTTCCTAATAAGCAAGGCAAAGCAATTACAGTAATTAAAGATTTAAGATAAGAGCACTTTATATTTGGGGGGCCCAGCATATCAATTATACAGTTATCATGTTGTTCTCCCTCCTAATGAGACAATCTAGCACTATAATTTCGCAGCATTAAAAGCATAATTAAAGGGGGCAGGAGAAGAAGGGAAGTTTACCAAAACTGATTAGGAGGGTTTCCTCTCCTCAGTGGCTCCTGTGCACACACAGAGCACAGATGCATTCCCCAAACACCCTTCCATTTCCAAGAGATAACCCTGGAACATGGCTGTTGGACAGCTGCAATGATAAACCCAGGCTTTAATTACAGGAGGGTTTTATGGGAAGAGCTGGTTGCTGGTTTTGTTGTTTTTCTGCTGTTTTCTCCCTACTCCCAAGCTCTTGGTTGCTGAATGTGTACCAGCATCTGTTGGAAGGTAAGGGGGAAATAGCTTATCTTCTCAGAGGCAAGAAACACATAAAACATAAGGAAAGCAATTACATGCCTTCAGTTCCCACTCCTCTGTTTTTATAGGGCTTGTCTTAGAATCTGAGTGATTTTATGCATCAGAGGGAGATGACAATCAAGATGAGTGGCAATGATATGCATGGGAGGCTGAGGCACAGTGCCTTTAGGTATCTATTTTCCTGTAGTTACAGCTTTTCTGAACTTCCTGTTTTTTTCAGAGGGATGAGAGAACCCAGAATTTTGCAGCTGAATATTGTGGCCACTCAGACCACACATGAGAGCCCAAGGGACAGTTACCATAATATAACTTAATCCCTTCTCCTCCTCCTCCTCTAATGCTGCACAATTCCAGGAGAAATGTGAGTGGTACTGGGAAAAACAGGATCAAAGTATGTAAGCACTGAGGTGAGCCCTCACCTGGGTTACTCTTTCCTGCTGCAACTTCATCACTTCTACATCACTACTACAGAGGTTCTCAGGATGCTATTTGACACTTGTCCTTCAGGACATAAAATACCACACACTGCTGCTCCACACCTCCTTCCCAAACTTTGCTCCCCAACGCTGAATTATCCAGTTTATATTACATCTGAATTTGGGGACAATTGAAAGCAAAAGGTAGGATTTTGGACCCATGCACCGCTGTGTGCTTTCAGACAGCTCTGTATAAGCCCACAGAGGAGTTTTTGGTCACGCAGTTCTTTGGCCACAAAGGCACAGAGAGTGAAACACAATTTACAGCCTGCAAATCCAGATGCCTTGAGGGCAAACATGAGGCCACACAGAGCCCCACTCGCCCCAAACAGGGGTGAGTAAAGAGAAAAAACAAGACCCAACTACTCTTTCTGAGCTATAATGTGGCATTTGCACTCCAATTTCAGGCCCTGGGGGTCACTCCACAGGGCAGTGTTGGCTCACAAAGGCTGGTCACCTGCTGCCCAGTTCTCTGTGCCTTTGCTCCTGCACTTCAGCACTCCCTGGCAGGAAAAGTACCTTCTTTTCATGATACTGATGTGGAGATCCTCCTCCTGCTTTACTTCGGGGTGCTGACCATTGCTCTTGTCGCTCTCTTCGCTGTCGTCGCTGTGCGAGAAAATCGAGGGGAGCTCTTTCTTCGGGATCCTGGTGGGAGGCAAAGGGATCGTCCTCTTCTCTGCCAGGCGGCCCCGGTTCTGGAATTAGTTGCAATGGGAAAGGGCAAGAGGAGGAGAGAAGAAAACAAAGGACTTGGTCAGGAAACTCAAACCCAAGGAGCTCCTCTCAAAGAGCTGCCCTGAGAAGGCAGCACTGTCAGTCCCACTGTTAGGTGGGTGGGCAAAGGCCCTGCTCACTTTGCAAGAGGCTTTGCAGCAAAGGCACAGCTGTATCTAATTCCAGTTCTAATCAAGTCATGCCCTTCCAGCCTCTCCCACCTCTTCACTCCTAGCTCGTGTCTGATCCACATCAATAGGAAAGGGAGATGGCACCAATCTTTCTCTCCAGAGTATTTCCTACCAAACATTGCACATTAACACAGTGGAGTAAGTTCAATTAAACCTCTGCCAGTAGCCCAGGGAAGCCATGATCCAGATAATCCAGAGCACTTCTGACTGTAAAGGGGGAAAACTGCCTGTGTCAGCCAGCAGCAGGTTCCTCTCACACCACTGAACAGTCCACAGCAACTTCAACCTGAATTACTGAGGCTACTTCCCACTGCTCCTCTGCATGTTGAGATGGACTGAGCCTTGCAGAGATGTCCCTCAGTGTTCCTCCCTCACCAACTCACTGGACATGGCACAGCTATGCAGAACTCCCAGGAGGCCTTTTCCCTCACATTTACAGAACCTGGCACAGCATAACCCTGGTCCCAACCTCCTCCTCTCTTCAAGAAGTGAGATGTATCACAGATCACCCTGTCCCTGCAGCCTCTGTGCCTGATCCACAAGAAGACACAAACCCAGTGCAGCCTAAGCCAGACTGTGCTGGGCTTTAGCTCCCACTGGGACAGAACAGGTTTTTAGGATTGGGGTGTTTGGCTCCATCTGTGACTGACCAAGACAAGAGCCATAATATGAGCAGTCCCAGTGGAAGATGTACACTGGAAACCCAGGGAGACTGTGGTGTCATTCCCCCCCCAACCCATCCCAGAATCTAAAATTTTAGCAAACAAAATGGTGAAACTGGGATGGGAACCACAGAGGGGGAAGTGAAGCACAGTCCTGCGCACGTGCTTTGTACAGGAAGAAAGGTGTGTGGAACAGGCTGAATAAGTGCAGAGTAACACTGAATTAATAACAGTTCCTCTGAAACATCGATTCCAACTTTCCAAGTAAACCTGGCAAAACACAAAGGTCCTGGGAAAGCCAGTCAGGCTCTCTGCAGGGGAGAACCAGGAACACTAAATGATGGAAGAGCCCGTGCTTTTTTTAAATTAAATAAATTAAGAACCTTCCACAAATACAAAACAAAAAACTTGTTTACTTCTGTCAATAAATTCCAGTTGTGCTCATTAAGGGGAGTCCTAATCGCTGTGATAATTAGCTAAATCCATCTGGAAGGCATCACCCCAAGGAGCCACGTTAGAGCTTTCCCACCCTGATGCAGGTCCAAGCCAAGAATGCAGCTGTCTGTGAACAGCAGACACCCAAGGGAGAGCAGAGCAGAGGGCCAAGCTGGCATAAAAACGGGAAAACACGTCCACAAGGAGAAAGACACGCACTTTATACACTCTGTGTGTGTCTCCAACCCTCATGTGGGAGGTGCATTTCCACCCCTGCCCCTCTCCTGCTCCAGTGCAAACAGAGAATGTGCACCAAGTTCACCCTCTGCCCAAAGTCACCTCGGGAGCACGAGCTCACTCGGAGCCAGAAGGACAGCAGGGAGGTGAGGAGAGAAAGGGAAAAGCCAGGGGATGGAAAGGAAAAGCAAGGAGGGCAGTATTTGCACCAGATTTCTGTCACGGACCAGCATGAGCTTCACCACCCAAAGCTTTCTGTGTTTTTCAGGAGTTGCAATTAGAGGGGACGGGGAGGGAGGGGGGTGCAAATTTCCGCTCCGGAATAATTGGAAATCGCTCTCTGCTGTGGCTTCGCGGGCTAAAGAGAACGGCACAGATCAGACACTAAAAATCATTTTATGGCCATTATGGCACCTCGGAGCAGTTAGCAGGTCTCAGTGACTGCCCAGGGACTCGTCAGCCCCGAGCAGAGTGAGAGGGCAGCAAACAGGGAGGCGCTGAGCCCACGGAAACAGCCCCCAGGCCACAGCACGGGTCGCCCCTTCCCCTGCTCCTCAGGGTGCTTTTTCTTTGCCTTTCTGTAAATTGTACCCTTACACCTAAAGCTGCTGCACATGCACACACATATATAACATACAGATATTGCAGATGTACCTATATAGGTAGCACCTAACACATCTTCCTTTAAAAGGCAAATAAATGAGCGTGAATGGAGGAAGAGAATTTGCATCTGCAGCGACCTCTGGTCACAGGTGACCTGCCCTGCTTTTGTAGGACGACAATAGAACCAGAGTGGTTCCAGTGTCCCTGCAAGCCCCAACATTCCAGCCCCAGCAATGCATTTATTTTTTTTAAGTTCTGTTTACTCTGTACTTTGCTTTTTTTTTTTTTTTGCCATCAGGTTTGGGGTGCTTTTATTTATTTATTTACTGCGTCTCTCAGTTCGCAGAAAATTAAAATAGACTGAGGCAATCAATTTTGCCTTTTATATTCATCTATAGTCAGTTTTGAATCAATTGCACTTTCTTAATCTGTTTAGAGGCATTCACCAGTAGATACACATTACTTTTAAATTAAGCACAAAGGTAGCCAGAAGCCTGGCCCAGAACCTGCTGCAATCAATTGCCTTTCCATTGACTTCAAAGGGCACTGGTCCAAGCTGCAAACAAAACAAAAAACACACTCCAAAACACACTAAGGAATCTTTCCTGGGTTTTGCTGAAGTTTTTTTTTTCAGTTGTGCAGATAGATTACAGAACAGCAATGTACCTGCAGAGGTGAGCAGTGGGTTGAGACACCTACAGTGACTCCAATTCAGGGTTATCAAGTAACCAGT